TGTACCACCAGGGCAGCCCCACACCACAGCCCGCGCTGCCTGAGAAGCGGCGAATGTCGGCCGGGGACCGCTCCAACAGCCTCCCCAACTATGCCACTGTCAATGGCAAGGCATCCTCGCCTCTCTCCAGCGGCATGTCCAGCCCCAGTGGTGGGAGCACCATTACCTTCCACACCCTGCCGGACTTCTCCAAGTTCTCCATGCCAGGTAAGGGATGCCTTCAGAGGTCCCTGTGTCCCCCTGCCCTGAGCGGGGCTCTCTCCCATCCTCCTCCTCACTGGCCAGTGGGGAAGGGGTTGCAGCTGTGTCCTGGTTTACCCCTCCTGCCCATCTGCACACCGGCGGCACCAGGTCGGGCCATTTCCTGTGCTTTCTGGCAAATCCAAACAGGAAAAGCACTGACGTGACATTGCTGCCATAAACAGTGCCCAGAGTTGTGTACAGGGAGATCAAAGCACCCGGAGGCAGCTTTTCTCTGCTGTGGGGATGTGCTGACCTCCTGGCCCCGTTCCTGGCAAGCTTTACCCTGCTGTGGCTCTGCCTCCTCGTTTCATGTGGTGTGCTGTGCCCTGGGTGGCATTGCACTTGGAATGCCTTCACTGGCTTTGTTATGGGACACCCTGGTGACGCCAAGATCGGACTGATAGAACCAGGGGAATAAAGCCGTGGGGCAGCAGTGGCTCCAGCTGCTGGGCCAGTTTCGCTGTGGAGCGGGCAGCCCTTTGTGGGCACACTGGCGCCTGCCCGAGCCCTGTGACTTCCCATGGCTGGGGATCTTTCCCAGTGGGGAAGCATGAGCAATTAAAACCTGTAACCATTAGCGAGTGGGCTGGGGAGGGGAGCAAGCCCCCTGCCCCTCTGAAGGTGACCAGATTGCAGAGGGCTGATAACACGTCTCCAGCAGAGATGCTATCTGGCCCTCTTTGTTGTTTGCTTGGGTTTTTTGGCAAGCAGGTGGTTGGAAATGTTGCCCCAGCAAAGCAACAGCTTCATGGCCAGAGGGCCGACTCTCATTGGAGCTGTGCCACTGATGGGCACTGAGTGAGGCAGGGTCAGGCTGGTGCTGCTTTCCCCAAGGTAGGTCAGCCTGTCCAGTTCCTCTGCACAGAGCAAAGATCAGGGAAGGAGTTTATTTTTATGATGGATGAGCCAAATCTTGAATGTTAAAGAGCAGTGAAGGTCCTTTGAAGTAAGATCTTCCCACCACCCTCTTAGTTGGACATAATCTCTTTCCTCCAACAGCTTTAATTTCACCTAGCCAGCTCCCTTTTAAATGATGAATTCCCATTTTGTTTCTGGCTGTGTGTCAAAGAAACTCATCAGATGCACATTGCTTCAAGGGCCCTTGTTCTTGGATTTAGCTTTAGATGCCCAGCAGCCCTGTAAGCTCCTGGAGATGGTCAGCCTTTTGGGTATGGAGGGTTGGGTTGAGGTTAAACCAATGTGCTGGGGCTGAAAGGAGGTAGAGGCATTAATGCTTTATCTAGATTTGCTAAGAAGTCATACTGAGTTTTAGATACAGCATCTTTAAACTTTTGTCTTGTCTTCCCTTCCCTTCCTTGCAGACATCAGCCCTGAGACTCGTGCCAGTGTCAAGTTTGTGCAGGACACTTCCAAGTACTGGTACAAACCGGAGATCTCCAGGGAGCAGGGTGGGTAGATGGCACAGGGCAAAGGATATGGTTGAGTGAGCCATGGTTAGGAGGTGGGGTGTATCTGGGACCACAGGGATTAGCAAAGGTTTTTCTCAGGGGTTGGATGAGGAATGAGGGTGTATTGTGGATGCTCAGACCATTGCAGAGTGGGGCTGAAGCCCAGTTCAGCTGCAGGCTTGCATGATGTGGGCTTTCCAACCTTACACTTGGTGGAGGATCACTAGTCCCTACAGCGTGCAGTGGATCTATGCATTTTGGGGTACAGAGCATTCAGATCTTGAGTTGAGTGAGCTCAGAGAGGTCTTGGAGATATGGCTAAAACAGGAGGGGAGAACAAGAAGGGGACAAGGTACCTTCAGGGGCATGGTCCCAGCAGTTGGTCCCTAGTCCTTGCCTGCTCTCCAGTGCTCAGCTGCTCAGAGCTGGGCTGGGTGGGAGTGGATGCTTTGAGATGCTTGCACAAGGGCAGTGAAACTGGGGGTACACGAGCCTCTGCCTGGCCACAGTCCAACTCGAGACCCCCATCCAGATGTGCAACAGGGACAGTAACATTGCAGTGTCTGACTGCAAGGCTATGGAGCTGGCGTGCCCTGTCCTGACCCACACCTGCAGGGTTTGGAGGTCATGTTAGCTCTCACTATGCTGGGTCTGAGGTCTGCCGTTCTCTTTTGCAGCCATCGCATTGCTGAAGGACAGGGAGCCAGGGGCTTTCATCATCCGAGACAGCCACTCCTTCCGGGGAGCCTATGGCCTTGCCATGAAAGTAGCTTCTCCACCTCCCACAGTCGTGCAGCAGAACAAGAAAGGTATTGTGTGCCCTTCTCCATCCCACGCTGAAATGCTTTCCATCGTTCGGCTGGGCCAAGAGGGCAGCCGTGTCTGCTGAGCCAGTCATGCCCTTGGATATGTGCTGATGTGGCAGGATCCCTCCCTCCCAGTCCTCCCGTCCCAGGGCACAGGGAGGCACCAAACACCCTCTAACCTGAGATGCGGAGGGCTCAGGGGCATCTGAATCTTGAGTTTGACACAGTGAAATGGGCACAGCCTCCCCAGCCCACCAACACGACAGGGGAGCCTGGCCTGGGGTTGGGGTTGTGCAAAGGGCTGGATTTGAGGAGGGTGTGTGGAGTGGTAGGGAACCCTCCTTTGAGCTGGAGCACTGGTTTCCATGTGGGGCTACAGAGTTTTAGTTGGAGGAGAGTGGCTCTAGTGTGAGAACATTCCATCTCTTCCCAGGAGACATCACCAATGAGCTGGTGAGGCACTTCCTCATCGAGACCAGCCCGCGGGGTGTGAAACTAAAAGGATGCCCCAATGAGCCCTATTTTGGTGAGTGCCTCCAGCATGCTTCCTACATGCAGGCTTGGGTTGGGAGAGCCTTGCCTTTGCTGGACTATCAAAGCAGGCCTATTGGGTGCCTGGGAGAGCCCCCACTGTGTTACTTGTCCCTGTGTAATCAAGCCCTGTGGGCATTTGGAGCCTTGTGGGTCATGTGTAGAAATGAGTGCATACAAATGCGCCTCTATAAACAGGTATGTACCTTTCTGCAAACGTGCAGGAAAAATGATCCTGCTGGACAGTATGGAGGGTAGGCATTCCACTCCTTGCTCCATTTATCCCATGGCTAATGTGCTCCAAGGCACTGCATCAGGACCTCTGCCCCATTCCTGTTTCTAAGGTGGCCCTGGCATCTCTGCCTCCTCCCTGTGCCCTCTATGGGCATGGTGGTTTCAGTGAGAGGAACTGCCACATGTGGCATTAGGATCACAGTGAAAAAAATCCAGCAAAAAGTCTGTTGCCATCCATCTGGAGCAGCAATGTCCTAACACCAGGGAAAGCCATGTCCCCAGCCCCATGCTGACCATCTCCCTTCTCTCCCCAGGCTGCCTCTCAGCTCTGGTGTACCAGCACTCCATCATGCCCTTGGCCCTGCCCTGCAAGCTGGTCATTCCTGACCGAGGTAAGAGCCAGGACCAGAAGGGATTGCATCTGCTGCCACAGCCTGTGAGGATGGGGTAGGTTTCCAAGCAGGGAGCAGCAGTAACCATCCCATGTCTTCTAGATCCCATGGAGGAAAAGAAAGATACCACGTCAGCCACCAACTCATCCACAGACCTCCTCAAGCAGGGTGCGGGTGAGTAGAAAGGGGCTGTCATAAGGCAAATGTGGCTTGGAGCACTGGTTGACCCCATGCCTATTGTCTCCCTTTCCAGCCTGCAATGTCCTCTTCATCAACTCGGTGGAGATGGAGTCGCTGACAGGCCCCCAGGCCATTGCGAAGGCTGTTGCTGAGACCCTGGTGGCCGACCCCACACCCACCGCTACCATTGTCCACTTCAAAGTCTCCGCACAAGGCATCACCTTAACCGACAACCAGAGGAAGTAAGACCCCTATGGCCATGGCCCTGGGTCTCCAGCGCCATTGGGGCTGTGATCCTGGAGCATGTTGATGAAGGATGTCCTTGGGGTGGCATGAACCTGGTCATGGCCAGGGCTGGGCTTTGTCCTTGACTCCTGAAACTTCCTAGGGAAACCTATGGGAGTGTCCCCTAAGCTGGGGCTGGATTGTGGTGGGGCAGAGGTGGGGGCTTCCTGGCCATGACGGTCCCTGCTTTGTGTTTCAGATTGTTCTTCCGACGACACTACCCCCTCAACACTGTCACCTTCTGCAACCTGGACCCTCAGGAACGAAAGTGAGTGCCCTAACCTGGGGGAAGCACGTGTCTTCTACCCCTTTCCCTCCCCCAGGCTCCAGGCTGCTTGGAGCAGGGTCTTTGCTTGCTCTGTCCCCCTTGCTTCTGCGGAGACCAGGGCTGGAAGGTTCCCTTGGATACTGTGGGGCAACACCAGTTTCTCCTGGTGTTTCTAAGCATCTTCATGTTGGGGGAGAGGTGCATCAGGTTTTCTTTCCATAAAGCCAAGCCTGTGCAAAGCCAGGCTGGTCCTCCAGCATTGATGTGGTGACCCCCATCAAGGCCCTGTTTCTCTGTGGGGTGCAGAATGCACCATCCATTACACCTCCTCTTCTCCTTGCAGGTGGACTAAAACTGATGGCAGTGGCCCAGCCAAGTAAGTACCTTCTGTGCTTCCCAGCTGATTCCTCCCAACCACTGTCAGGGTGTCTCCCACCTTTTGAGCATTGGCTGGGAGATGCCCCATGCAGGGCAGCCTCTTGGCTGTCTGTCAGATGAGCTCAGCTTCTTGTTGCAGAAATGTTTCACCCAAGAATGAAGACTCAGGAAGCATCTTTCATCCCCAAATTCCCAGTTAGAGCAGATATGGCTCTTCCTGAACTGGCCGAACTGGAAACTCTGCCAGAGGAGTCTGTGGGAGCTAGCTTATGAAGCAGAGCCAGGGGTTAGGCTGATGGCCCGTGAGCCACCGGCCAGCTCTTTCATTTCCTCCTGTCCCCCTTGTTCTGATCCATGGGAGTACAGAGCTGCTAGCTGATCCCATTTCCAGGGGCAAATTCCCACTAATTTTAGCTATTGTGTTAGCGAAGGGGTTTTTATTAGGAGGTCCAGCTGCTGGGATATTTCTGCACCCCAATTAGAAATGCCACGGCCTGGGCCTGTCTCACATTCTGTTCCCCTGTATTTATAACTTGAGTTTGCATGTTCTAATAAAAAAAAAAAAAGGGGACATTTTATTCACTGGGGGAGAGACAGATGGAAATAACCACATGGTCTCACCCAGCTCCCCTTGTCCCCACATGGCCTTCCTTTCATACAGGGTCTACCCCAGTGGCCAGCCCATCACACCTCTGTACTTTCAGGAGTCATCACACAAACCAAAGCAATGCTGTGGTCATCTGGAAGGCCCCTTCTTGGGGACGGCATAGGGGAGGTTGGCAGGGATGATCAGAGCAAGGGGGCTTTGGCCAAGAACTGATAGAAACACGGTGCTGACCTTCAATGAAACTGCAACAAAGAAAAGAATGGATGGGTCTTCATGCAGTCTGGTTTGGGATGCCTCCATCTGTGTGTGAGGTGGAGGTAGAAGAGGTGGACAAGACCATGCTGGAGGAGGGTGGTGGTCCTTGGATTAGTAGTGCAGGCAAACCTTGCTGAGCTTCTTGTCTTCTTCCTACCCAGGCTCTTCGGCTTCGTGGCCAGGAAGCAAGGGAGCACCACAGACAACATCTGCCACCTCTTTGCCGAGCTGGACCCAGACCAGCCAGCTGCAGCCATCGTCAACTTTGTCTCCAGGGTCATGCTTGGCTCTGGCCAGAAAAGATGAGCTGATGCTTGCGGGTGATTCTTGAATTTTGGAGAAGGACTTGGAGCTGATCCGAGAAGGAGTGTGAGGAAGTGCATTGTGGGAGAGGGAAGTGAATTGGGGGGAAAAAAAAGGGTTGGAATTCTGGAGGAAAACAGCAAACAGTGAAAAAACCCCAAACCCAATGGAACCCCTATAAACTCAACACAAGCCAAACACACACACAGAGGAACCAAAACCACGCACCTACCTAAGAGAGCCACAAAGTCACGTGAGACAGGATGCATGTCCCACCGCAGGGAAGGTGACCAAAGCGAAGGCTTTTGGCATTATGGTTCTGACATCCACTTGGGACTGAATGCAGGGCCATGACTGGTTGTTTTCCATCTGGGGAAAAAAAAAGACAACTGGCAAAACCAATGCTTCATCCCAGCAGCTCCATCAGCGAACGTCTGCTTTGTGTTTGAAACGATCCATAGGAGGTAACAATGTGGCTGGGTCTATCGGACACTGGAGGAGATGCCCTCAGAAACCTTCCCTTGCCTGGCTGCAGCGGAGGGTCCTCACTTGTCCATGTGTTTCTCCTGAAACCTGTCAGCTGCCTGGCAAGTTGTTGGGGGTGTGGGGGGGCTTGGTCCTGATCCATCCTGTCTCCAGGGAGCTTGGCCATGGGCTGATCTCTGTCACTAACCCAGATCCCAGCACTGGTTGCAGGTGAGCTGCTGTGAGCCCACCTGGCGAGGAGGGTCATGGCATTTCCCCACCTCCTGGGGGTGCTCGTACCCCCCAGCCTGTGAGGAGGTGTGGGGGGGCTCCTGCTGCCCTGTGCCTGGGGAAGGCAAATGCTCCCCAGGAACCTCCCCAGAGGATGCAGAAAGTCACCTCCTCTTCTGTCACTAGGCCTCTTTGTCAGTTTTCTCCTGCAGCCTGTCACCTTAACACAAAGAAAAACCCACCCCAACCCCAAACAAAAGAGAAAGGAAAGAAAAAACATTGTAATAATAATAATAATTATAATAATAGCGGATGCTGGCACAGGTGGGTTCCCTGTGTGAAGTAGCAGACCCGTGGCTACCCCTATCTCACTCTTCGGAGACACGCAAGCGGTTTTTAAATTGCATGGATGTTCAAGTTGCACGAAAGGCGAATGACTACAAGTAACTCAGGCGCTTTTTTCTCCTTTTATTTTGGAGGCAATGTTAAAAAAAAGAGAAGGAAGAAAATGTAAAAAAAAAAGAAAACAGGAAAGGACCTGTGGTTGCTGGGTAACTTTGGCTCAGTGGGGAGGTAGCAGGTCCTCCGAGAGCCACGCTGCTTGGCACGCACGTACCCTCAGAGCTGGCTGGCTGGATGCTCATGCCCCTGAGTGCACTGTGGGTTTGGTGCTGTCAGCTTTTCCCTTTGCTTTGGTCAGCCAGGGAGCGAGAGGGGTGAAGGGCCCCTGTACTGCTGTGGTGGTGGGAAACAGGGTTGAGGCAGCAGGTGGAGGTCCCAGCCCATGTAGCCAGGCAGAGGGCAGAGGATGCTTTGGTCACATACGTAGGTTTGTGGCCAGGGGAACTTTCTGGCTGGTGCTGCAGGGTCATTGCTGAGACCTCTGCTGCAAATATCCCCCTCCCCTCCACCTTCCTCTAAGAGCTTTTTGGGAGAAGTTTTCAGTGCAAAGTGGCCCAGATAGTCTACCGGGGGCAAAAATTAGAAACATAGCACTGCAGCCCTCCCCCCAGCCCTGGAGAGCTTTTCTCCTTTGGAACACCCTTGCCTTGATAGCTAGAATATATATATATGAGCTATACTCATGACATACTGTAAGCTAATGAAATTTTATGGAGGAAAAAAAGGTTAAATTCACACTCAAAAAATATTTATTTTTGCCATATCGCTTTCTGCGCATCTTATCTCCCCCGTTTTATCTGCCCCTTTCCCCTGCCCCGGGGAAACACCTGCACGTTTAAAGAAAATACAGAGCAAGGCAAAATATGGATGGGGGAAGAGGCGCGGGGCCCCCTCCCGTGTCAGGGCGGTGTGTGTGTGACCAGCGTGCATGTATGTGTGCATGGGGGTGTGTGTGTGTGTGGGGGGAGCGAGTGGCATGGGTGCCTGGATGGAGGCTGTTCTGATGTACTGGAGTAAACCTGAAAGGATGCGTAGCGAGGAGTCAGTTGTGAGACGGTGGCAGGATGGGGGGTTCTGAGGAGGCCTTCCCCCTCCCCAGCTCCCTGGCCGCACAGATATGGAGACCGTTTCATTTTAGATGTTTCCCTCCTTCTGCGAAATTCAAGCGAGATGAGAGATGATCTCACCCGTAATCTCCTCACCCTGCCATTCACTGATTAGAGAAAACACTGTGTTTATAGATATATAAAGATATATTTTTTGAAAGCCTCTATTTTTCAGACTCGGTTTTCTCACTGCTAAGAAAAGAGATGATTGATAATAATGTAATTTTATTTTAATCTGCTGCCTCAGAAAACGGTGCTTGAAAGTCCTATTCCTCTTTTTCTTCCCCATAAAAACAAAGCAGATCTAAGCACCCCAGAGATGTCATGTAAAAGCTGACCCCAGCAGATACCTGCCACTGGCATCACGCCTGCTTCGGGCCCTGAGCCGCTCATGGCTTCCTCATTAACCCACTAGCTGAAGATTTAGACCGTATCCAAATCTCGAACACTAACAAAATCCTCTGATGATTATATTATTTTTTTAACACAGCTAATCACCTTCCAATGATGTAGCCAGGTGTTTGTCAGCTCCCTTGAAAGGCACTTTTTCCCCCCCTTTATATCCTTTTCCAAGTTACAGTTCTAGGTGTAACTACTCTTTCTGTCCCAGGGAGAGTCTGTCAGCTAGCACTGAGGATTGCCCAGGTCCCGGGGCTGGCGGAGACCTAGTGTTGATATTTTTTTCCTTATGAAAGGGACAGAAACGATTACTTGTTTTTTTCTTTGGTTTTTAAATGCAGTCATGGTATTTGAGATTTGAGCTTGCGCGAGTTAAACCCAGCATATGTTTCATTGTAATCACACTGCCGTTGTCAGCAGCCGGATGGTATCTCTCTCGCTCACACACACAAACACATCCCTCCTTCCTGCACAAAGAACTGCATATATTCTTGCCAAAGATATCCTTAAAAACGCACTTTTCCCCACATATATTTTTTTTTGCATGTGTAAATTTGTTGTACGTGCCCTTTTTGTGTTGGTTTGTTCTTTGGAGAAGCCCCTTCCCACCCATCCTTCCTTTGCTGTCAATGTTGCTGTCTGTTGGGAAATGCTCTTGGAGGAGGTGTAATTTGCTACCTGTCCCAAATGGTAGTGCCCACAACATGCAAAATGTGGGGTTCCCATTCATTTTGTGGGGTTCCCATTCAACGGGGCTGCCTTGGGCTCCCACCTGGGAGATATTTTGGGGGATAATCCATGTCATCATTGCCAGCAGAGATCGTGGGCTTATGGGTTTAAGCACATACATTGAGCAAAGTTTGGAGTTGGTCTGGATGCAACATTTGCTGGCTGCCCCGTGGTCAAACCACACATGGAAAAGAAACCAGGTAGGGAGAAAAACCCAATGCAGCCTCTGGGCATTGATTTTCCAGTGAGTTCAACTGCCTGAACCAAAGTGCAAAGTAAATCCCCACCCAGCAGGTCGGGCAGGTAAAGAAACCAGTTGCCCCAAAAACCCCAGACAGCAGCATCAACAAAAGGCAACCCTTCCCGTTGGAGCAGGCAGGAGGATCAGACAGCAAAGGAGCCCGCAGGGGCTTGTTTCATTTCGTTCGTTTGTTTTGCAAATTGTGAGGTTGGTTTGGGGTTACTCTCTTTTTTTTTTTTTTTTTTTTAAATTAATTATTTTTTATTTTCCTTAAAAAGGAAAAAAGGAAAAAGGGAAAAAAGGAAGCAACCCGACATTTCTGTTGGCAGTTCCTGAGCTGCCGTGTTATGTGTGGGGTTTTTTTTTGTTGTTGTCTTTGTTACTTTGGGAACGTTACAGATTTATTTGCTAATCAGTGTTAATGAACAGTTTCAACCTTTTAGACTTGCCCATTTCTTTGTATTTATATAGATGGAAAGAAAAAACCCACGTTATATTTTGTATCTTTGTGCCCATAATGTTGTCGCGCGTGTAAGGATGACTTCGGTCACACTCTCTCCGTGTGTGAATGTGACTCCGCTGTTGTCTTCCCATTGTACAGATGTCAGATTCTTTGCAGTTCATTGTATGGCTTTAGAAAGTAAAAACAACAACAACAAAAATCAGTTATATAAAATACACTGTTGCTTGGAAAGCCAGTTTGGTGTCTGGATCGCTGGAAATGTGTCTTGAATTGAAGGGAGTGCAGGAATAAATGTTCTTTTACACAGGGGAAAAGAAAACCCAAACCCAAACCAAGCCTGAACCCCAGCAAGTGCTGTGTTTTCTCTGGGCTGTCGTTCCCCGTTCCTCTATGGCAGACTGGGGCCCCCAGACCGACGCTGGGTGGTGGGCGTGGGAAGAAGGAGGGGTTGTGCTGCTGCTTGTCAGCCTCCAGCCGCAGCTTGTGTTCACCAGATGCTGGCTAACCAGGCAGCCCCCAGACTTCCTACATGGCTCCAGCTGCAGCTTGGGCTTTTGTTTACCAGGAGGGATCTCTCCAGTGTGCCCTGCAGGCACTGGGTGCCCTTCAAATCGTGTTGCTTTCTCTCAGGTTGCCTGTAGGTGCCATCTGTTCCAGCTCTGGACATCCCGTTTGAGTGCATCTCCGACAGGGGAGTGGGATGGGATGATGCTGGTATGGAGTCCTTTGCCAAGGTGGTGCTTTGCGCTCTGCTCCCATTAAATCCCACTTCCTGCCCCTTTTGGAGCCATCTTGCTCCCTGTGCCTGGCAAAACTTACCCCAAAGTCTCAGGCCTGGCGTTTCCAGTGTTCACAAAACAATTCCCAGCATCCGTTGCAGCCCTCAGCCTCCGGCTATCTGGCTCCACTCCTTCCCCTCCTTGCTGAACTGGTGGCCAAGACCCAGCTCCTGGGATGGATTGAGTTTAATTATACAAGAAATATCAGACAGAGCAGCGGCAGTTTCCCTGGCGCCAGCACTGCTGCGGCTCAGAGGCTCAGAGCTCCTCCTGGGAGCCGGCAGCACTAAAAATACCTCCTGCCTTTCTCTAAAATAGCTGCAGGATGAGGGGCGGATTGAGGGGGCTGCTCGCGTGGGGACCCCATGCTGTGGGGCTT